TATATATATATATAAAATCTAGTATTGGACTTGCAGGTGAAAATTGCTTCATATGGTTTGGTCCAAAGCCTGCATTATTTATCTCAGAACCTGATTTGATCAAAGAAATTCTGTCAAACAATTATGTTTTTCAGAAAACTTCCACTCCATTAGATAAATTATTAGCACAAGGCTTAGCTGCTTATGAAAAAGATAAATGGGCAAAGCACAGAAGGCTCATAAATCCTGCTTTTCACCTGGAGAACCTCAAGGTAACTAACTAACTATGTTATAGTTTTGTGCACAATTAATTGATGCAAATTTCCGAACATTTTTCCGATTGCAGAATATGGTTCCATCGTTTTACCTGAGTTGTGCCGACATGCTGAAGAAATGGGAAGATATTGCACGGGAAGAAGGCGGGTCGCATGAAGTGGACGTGTGGCCTTATCTCCAGACCATGTCGAGTGATGCAATTTCGCGTACTGCATTTGGCAGTAACTACGAAGATGGTAAAAAGATTTTCCAACTGCTTAAAGAACAATCTGCGCTCGTCATGCAGGCTTTGTTAAACCTATACGTCCCCGGATGGAGGTACGATACAAATTTTACAAACTAAGTTTCAAAATATTACTACGAGGAGATAATATAAGCGTTTCGAACAAAAAGTGTGACCACAGCATATGTATAAGATTTATGTGAAGCAACAAGATAAAATTTTTTGCAGGTTCTTGCCAACAAAGACTAACAGAAGAATGAAGAAAATTGGCAAGGAAGTAGAATCATTGATACTAGGCATCATTAGTAGAAGAATGAGAGAAATTGAAGCAGGGGAGGGTAGTTCAAATGACTTGCTCGGGATACTGTTGGAGTCGAATTTGAAGGAAATCCAACACAACGGGGACGGGTATGGAATGAGCATGAAGGAGGTGATTGAGGAGTGTAAGCTTTTCTACATTGCCGGGCAGGAGACGACGTCCTCATTGCTCGTGTGGGCCATGGTTTTATTAAGCAAACATCCCGACTGGCAAGTGCTTGCTAGAAACGAGGTCCTTTCCAATTTAAGAGATGATCGACCGAGCTTTCAAGCGTTGAACCACCTCAAAATTGTAAGTAAACATTTTTTTTTTTTTTTTTTCGCGGTACGAAAGTTGTAAATAAACCAACACTGAAATGGGGTTCAATTTTAGGTGAACATGATTCTTTACGAGGTCCTGAGACTGTATCCACCGATAGTCATGATGAGTCGAAGGATCGACAAGGAAACTAAGGTGGGAAAGGTGACCCTGCCATCTGGAATCGAGGTTTTCCTACCAACTCTTTTGGTGCACCATGACACGAGATTATGGGGTGAGAGTGCGAAAGATTTCGATCCTCAGAGGTTTCACCAAGGAGTAGCTAAGGCGACAAAGGGAAAACTCACATACTTCCCGTTCGGCGGTGGGCCCCGCATATGCATCGGCCAGAACTTTGCTATGTTAGAGGCCAAAATGGCGTTAGCTATGATTGTAAAAAGGTTTTCTTTCGAGCTTTCTCCGGCCTACACACACGCTCCGGATATGGTGGTCACACTCCAACCTCAGTTTGGTGCGCACTTGATCCTGCATAAGCTTAGTTAGGTTTAAGAGTCTTGGTTTATTGCTTTATAATGTTTCTGTTTGTTTGTGTACTTTGTTTCTAAAGATAATATTATGTTTTGAGATATAGATAATTGATCTACTACTTTGGATGTTCTTTGTAGCAATACCAAACTCCAGTTAGTGTGCACTGTAGTAATATTCTAAACATAAGTTTTTTTATATTCAAACAGGGCTTGCATATATCACTAAACTCCTCCAATAAGCACTATGTAGTGGCCCGTTCGAATAATAAGAGTCGGGTTATTTATTCTTTGTGTTTGCATTGCTTTTCTTTTATTTTGATGCTCGACTAAATTTCTAGTAGGCTTATTAAGATTACATAGATGTCCTCATATATTTAATCTGATGAGTTAAATAATTTTCGTAGGTGTTCTCGTCTAGTTACATTATTCTAAATTTATTAATTCGTTTGCTAAGCGAAAAATCGTTCGATTTCAAAGTTCGACTACGAGATTAAGAAAAACAACCGCGCCGATTGAAACGATAAGAAACGATAAACAAGAAACATGTATTCTTATTTCTTGCTGAATAGTTACAAAGCAATGGATATATATAATACAAGAGTGACTTCCTCTCCAAGAATCTACCTAAAATACAAGACTAACCTAATATACAATAAAGATCATGTAAATTTCAAAAGATATCCGAAATCTCGAATGATATCCCGAATACTCCCCCTCAAGTTGGAGCATGAAGATCACGAATGCTCAACTTGCGGAGTAGAAAATGAAAGCGATCCCGTCCGAGGGCTTTAATGAAGATGTCGGCAAGCTGAAGACGAGTAGGGACATACTTGGCAACTAGTTCACCAGATTGAACACGCTCCCGGACAAAATGACAGTCAATCTCAATATGTTTTGTGCGCTCGTGGTGAATTGGATTGGCCGATATATGAAGGGCCGATTGATTGTCGCAGAGCAGATGAATGGGGTCAGAAAGTGTGATATCGAGCGAAGAAAGTAAAGTGCGAAGCCATATAAGTTCGCTAGTGGTGACTGCCATTGAACGGTACTCTGCTTCGGCGGATGAGCGAGAAACGGTTGTTTGTTTCTTAGTGCGCCAAGAAATTGGACAACCGCCAAAAGTGATGAAGAAGCCTGTAGTGGAACGTCGCGTGAGGGGACAACTGGCCCAGTCAGAGTCACAATATCCAATTAACTTCAATGAAGTCGGTCGTCGGAGTAGAATACCTTGGCCCGGACTATGCTTCAGGTAGCGAATAATGCGTAAGGCAGCATCCCAATGGCTCTCCCTCGGTTGCTGCATGAATTGTGCAAGTAAATGGACCGAGTAGCACAATTCAGGACGCGTGATGGTCAGATAGAGAAGACGACCGATTAGTCGACGAAACCGCGCTGGGTCTTTTAGCAAGGGAGCGGTGGAATCCGCGAGTCGAGGCCGCTGTTCTATGGGGAAAGTTGCCGGTTTCACGGCTGTGAGACCACAATCTGATAAGATGTCTAATATATACTTTCTGTTTGTTTGTGTACTTTGTTTCTAAAGATAATACTATTATGTTTTGAGATATATATAATTGATCTACTACTTTGGATGTTCTTTGTAGCAATACCAAACTCCAGTTCGTGTGCACTGTAGTAATATTCTAAACATAAGTTTTTTATATTCAAACAGGGCTTGCATATATCACTAAACTCCTCCAATAAGCACTATGTAGTGGCCCGTTCGAATAATAAGAGTCGGGTTATTTATTCTTTGTGTTTGCATTGCTTTTCTTTTATTTTGATGCTCGACTAAATTTCTAGTAGGCTTATTAAGATTACTTAGATGTCCTCATCTATTTAATCTGATGAGTTAAATAATTTTCGTAGGTATTCTCGTCTAGTTACATTATTCTAAATTTATTAATTCGTTTGCTAAGCGAAAAATCGTTCGATTTCAAAGTTCGACTACGAGATGCTTTGTGAGCCTTTGATCTAATTTTTTATTTTCCAAAACTTGGATCATTTTCGGTCCAAATTTTACAAAAGAGGTCCGACCCTTTTGTACTCGAGGAACCCACCCCCTTACCTCTTTGTGTTGGCACCATTTTTAATTTCAAATTTTAAACACTAGTAGCTTGTTATGGTAAGGATTTTTCACTCACTCATTCCCTCCTAAGACCGGCTA